GCAACAAATAGAAACAAAAACTGCATATAAAAATCATCACAAAATATGTATAATTCAATCTATTGTTACAATTTGTTACATTTATTGATGACATCTATTGCTTTTGATTCTCCTCACTTCTTATTCCTTTTAAGTTGCACCTTAACACAACTTATGAAGTTTGTCTCCTCTATCTTCATTTTCCTTGCCAAACTTTCTCATCCTGACATCTTGATGTACTTTTTTATTATGTGCCTGCAATTGAGAATGTAATACTATGACACAAATACCGAATTGAATAAATTATTATGAGAAACCAATAAACTTATATAACATAATAAGAAAAAGACATCCACGACCAGAAGATACAAAATAAGAAAAAAAGAATAAAATTGAACATTAACTCAGCCAATATATGAATAACTAATGAATAGGCACCAATTGTCTACTCTCAATCTTTGAAAAAAATCAATGGGACATTAAAACAAAGAACTCCACATATCATATTCTGCCCAAAAATATATGATTTGGTGATACTTAACCAATAATGAGATAAGAATCTGTTATATAAGATTCATTCGGGAAAAAGCTACTAAACCTTGAAGAGATCTTCATAATCATTGACATTGATATCAATATCAAATCAACCCTATATCTTGTTGGCAACCCGACCATACACAATAGAAACTTACTTCTACTAGAATAATTTGTGAGCATCCTAAATACTTGTAAGGTCATAATAAATCACTTGCGAAGGAAGAAAGAACAATGCAACAATGGAAGCAGAGTTACCCTATCAAAGCTCAGTCGCTCAATTAGACTATCACAAACAATTTCAGCAAATCTCGTCTTTAAATAAGCATTTGTATTTCAACAAGTTAAACTTTATAGGTCACTGCAATAAGGCAAAAAGATATCCAGTAACATATTAACACAATGAATTTGTTAACGGAGAACGGATTGATTTCCCTCAGGCCAGCAACCGTATCATAGCAAACTGAATCAAGACTACTCCGGCCAACAACTAAGTAATATGGTCAGCAACTAATGTAGTCTGTAGTAATATGTCAAGTTTAAGAGTGAATCTTATTCCACACTTGCCTGCCAATCTATTAGCTTTCCTATTTGTTTGTGATGGTGACACCTAGCTTTTCAGCCACAATTACGGTAATGGCTATATCCAGAAACATTGTGTGCTCAATGCACCTGCAAGCCTCAATATTGAATTGATCTCGGCCTTCAAATCCCCCATTTCCTTCTAAAAAAATTAATCAATTATATAGTTATCATTGTCAAAAGAATCATTTAGTAGGAAAATGAACAAAAGATTAAAAGATGATCACCTAGCCTTCCACTTCGCTTGCAAGCCACACACGGCTTACCAGTAATTAATGATAAATTTTTACTTTTTTCTTAAACTATGAAACAAAATGATATACTCTGTATGAATTTAATCACTTATCTAAATTAAAGTTTAAATTGAACTTCTTACTTTAAATTTTGACTGTGGAAGCCGGATTGCTGCCAATACCTTGATTCTACGGACTTTTTGTTGATACAACTTTACCTTGAAAAACATTCCTCAGAAAAAACTGCACGCACGACTGCTATTGTTGCAATCTTTCAGGTGCCAGTCGAAGAAGACAACGCTTGTGGATTCCATCCCCTAAGAATTCCAGAGTCACCTAGAGTGTGCGATGGAAGCCATGAATTCCGCCTATCACTCCTCTGATTTAGTTCCGAATGATCGTTGTGAGGAGGAATTGATCGATCCTGGAAAGTGTTTCGCGACTTGTGAATTTAGAGCTCCGATCGCAACCTGTTGAAGCTGAGATATGACCCCCATCTCTGCAGATGTTGCGTCGTCTGCTTCGGCCAGAAGACTTTGGAAGATCATTAGGGGATGCGGAGGTCAGGAAAGGTCAAGGGTCTCGAGACAGAAGCTGGGAGTCAGAAAGGTTTAGACGGAGGAGTTTGGTGGAACATGCCTAAAAGTGAAATAAAAAATCAAAATTGAAAATAGAAGAGTTATAAATGAAAAGATAAAATAGAGGAGATATAAATGATATGGGATATATAAAAACGGTCTGTCCGGATAATTTCCACAAGGGAATATGCTCTTTGGTTGAAGTTATGGATGCCATAGTTATTCTTCAACTTAAATATAATATTCTTTTCAGTTTGACAGTTACATACTATGGATTGGTTTGCACCAGCTTAAAAAAAGCACTTCTCAACTTTTAGCTTAAAAAAGCACTTATTTACCAAACACTACCAATTTTTACTTTTCTTGGCTTTCGTGTGAAAAGTGTTTTTCTCTTTTCTATGACACAAAAAGCACTTATTTTACCAAACACTACAAACTTTTACTTTTCAAAATCATTTTTTTTCTCAAACACTATCAGTTTTTACTACTAATCACTTTTTCCAAATAACTGCAAAAGTATTTTTTTAAGGAGAAACAGTTGCAAACATTCTCTATATCATTTGATTATAAGTTGTTACTCCCCCGTCCCCTTTATATTGTCCCGTTTTACCTTTTCGAGAAGACTCACTTAAATTGTTCCATACCATATTTGGCAAAGTTTGTGTGGCTCTAAATCATTCTTACTTTATTCTTACTTTATCAACTAATATCAACCATACAAACCCATTTTTCTTAATAACCGTGTCACCCTCTTCTGTTCCAATATAAAAGGGACGGAGGTAGTACTTCATAACTTTTATTTGATTGACATAAATTAATGAAATAAAATTATGTGATTAAGGTATTATGAAATAATCATGTATTTAGTGAAGTATTTTATACTACGTACTCCCTCCGTCCCGCTATGATTGTCCCATTTTACCATTTCGGTCCGTCCCACTAAGATTGTCCCATACCTTATTTGGTAAAGTTTGTGTGGTTCTAAATCATTCCTACTTTATTCTTACTTTATCAATTCAATATCAACCACATAAACCCACTTTTATTAAAAACCGTGCAACCTTCTCTTGTCCCAAACTTAGGGGGACGGAGGTAGTACTATATTTTTATGGGAAAAGGGGCAAATAAACCTTCGAACTAATAAAAAAAAGTGCAAATAAGCCCTTTTGTAGGAGGTTCTGTCCGATCATCGTCATTTGGGGAGGTTCTCGGTAGAATTTTTTGATGAATTTTTTTGAGCATCTTCTTCATTAAGTCTAGTTTAGCCATACCAAATTTCAGCTAAAAATTCAACCGGGAAGGCACTCAAATGATTTTCGGAAATATACTGCGTTGTTTAACTGCGCAGTTATCTTCAAAAATTCATTTGACTGTCTTCCCGATTGAATTTTAAGCTGAAAATCGGTATGACTAAACTAGACTTAATGAATAACATGCTAAAAAAAATTCATCAAAAAATTCCACCGGGAACCTCCCCAAATGACGATGGACAGACGGAACCTCCTACAAAAAGACTTATTTGCACCTTTTTTATTAGTTCGAGGGCTTATTTGCCCCTTTTCCCTATTTTTATTGAAGTATTGGTGGGCTAAAGTTTTCTAGTGGCAGAATGAACTTCGAGGCTAGTGGGATCATAGCAATAAACTTTACGTTAAACTCCAAAATGTACCACATTTTGTACTCACTCCCTGAATTGCCTGTGTACATAGCCAATTCGTTTGAAGGAGGGCAGGACGTTCTGTCCAAATGTCTGTGTATACAGACGGTGTACAGATTGGGGTACAAATCGGATAGACAGTCTAAACTTTATCTTTCCTAGTTTTGGATTTTAGCAAATATAATTCGTTATCCAGTGTATGGTGCTATGGTAGTGTGTGCAAGACAACAAAAGATGGACCCACCAATCCCCTTATCACTTATCTCCTGATTCTCATGCCACACACAATGCCATCCATCCTCTAATTTTAGTAAGAGTTCACTGCATCGTCATCATCATCAAGCATCATCATCATGGAGTAATATTTCGTACTATTTTCATCACGTTTAAATATAGGTTTAGACAAAATTTTAAGTCTTGCACTTAGTAAATAAATTCCTTCTCACATTTGAATTACGATGGAAAAATGGGACATACACTTGATCAAAGAATACTCAATAGATGAGGGATATCCTCACTTGGTTTTAAGGCTTAGGTTATGTTTGGCACAAATAAATCTTTGCCTTCTAGTTTTTGTACTGTTTAAAAAATTTCTAAAAGCTTCTAGTTATATGTTTGACATGACGATTTTTAAGAGTTTTTCAAAAATTAAAAGATCTTTTTTGAGATGTTACAGGGAGAGTAGCATGATAGCATCTGAAAAAAGCCCGTGACTTTTAGTATTAATTAATCATAACAGCTTGTATGCGAAACCGAATTAAATCAAACAGTCAACTTTTTACCAAACAGTTATCAACCTTTTCTTTTTAAGATCTTTTCAGTTACTAAAAGCTAATAGTTATTAAAAAGCTCACAAAAGTATCTTTTCAGCTAGTTGTGCTAAACATACCCTTAGTAAAACAACAACGAAATTACTCCACTATTGCAAAGACTTACATCAACGATGGAGTAAGGAGGGGTTCGATGTGCGGGGCCTTACCTTTATAGTGAAGCGCAAAGTGACTGTTTCGGGATGATCACGATGAAAATCTCATCCAAACTCTGCCTATTCTAACAAGGAATGAACAATCACACACCACTGCCTATTCTAACAAGGCATGAACAATCACACACCCCATGGAGATGATAGTTACAAACAATTGGGTGGGGCGTTGAGTATTATTAATAGAAAAAATCTATTAGGGATGTTAAAAAAGAATCCGTTTTCAGAAGCTAGTTTCTCTCATCTTCTAATAAAACTGATTCTATGAGTAAATTATGGCACCAGAAGTTTTAAGAATCAGATACAAAATCTTCTTAGATAGACAATAATACTCCGTATATATTAATGAGATCAATTACACCCAAGCATTCCAATTTCTGCTTCTACAGTCATGCAATTTTGTAGATATTTAATTGGAGATATTCGAACTATGATTATTATTTTTCTAATAATTGAAGATGATGAGCATTTTTTTAGTAATTATCCTTTGGGCGTCCTAACCTCGTTTGTGGCGAGTGGGATGGGGGTTTAGGATAACGAAGCTTAGCCACTGACATCAAGGTCTCTGTGTGTATATATAAATTATTATTATATATTCCACCATAACTTCTATTTAAAAAAACCAGTCTTCATACTGTAATCCATACAACAGCAAATTAAAGAGAAGAAATTAAAGTGCAGTAAGAGAAAGGTGTGATAATGGATGCGTACGATGTAGCAGACGGCGTAGACATTAGGGGGAGGTTCGATCCCGAATTCGCCGAAATCCTGAGCAGAGATGCTCTGCAGTTTGTGGCTGATCTTCACAGAGAGTTCCGAAGCCATGTTAAGTACGCCATGAGCTGCAGAAACTCCGACAAGGCGCGCTACAACGGCGGCGCCCTCCCCGGTTTCGATCCCGCCACTAGATCCATCAGGGAAGGAGACTGGCGCTGCGCTCCGGTTCCGCCGGCTGTGGCGGACCGGAAGGTGGAGATCACCGGGCCCGTTGAAAGGAAAATGATCATCAATGCTCTCAATTCTGGCGCCAAAGTTTTCATGGTATGTCATGTAACGCCGTTAAATTATCTGTCTCCGGTAAAATAACGAGTACTTTAACTTAATTAAATACGCCGTATGATAAGAAAGTAAAGTATAGAAATTACTTCAAATAACACTAAAATAGGACTTGCTAAGTTTTTTATTCCAAAATAGGATTATAGTGGTCCTATTGGAAACATACACATTTCTTCCTTCCATTCTTACCCCTCCTTTAAATATTAGTAAAAGATAGCTAAAAGTCATAATTAAATATTTAATTCATAATAAATTCGAAAAAATTTCAATAAGTCGTAAAAAAAAAAAAAAAAAAATTAATAAAATTTTTATAAAATAAAATAAGAGGAAAAAAATTAATTTTTTTTTGAAAATTAATAAAAAATAGTAAAACACCATAAAAACATTAAAAAATATATGGATACCTTTCCCACCGCCTGTACTACCTCCCTGAACCACCACCTCCGATCGATGTAAAAAAATGCCACTTTTTTTTAAATTCCACAAAAATAGCATATTTCTCTATGAGAATGCCAACATTTTCATTCTGCAAACTTGAATCCTTTTGACTTTTGCCAAAAAAATATGGCATTCATAATTTTTTTGGCATTTTTTTACCCCGGTGACAGGAGGTGGTGGTACCGCCTCCCTGCACCACCACCTCCGATCGTTAAAAAAAATGTCATATTTCCTACAAACTTCCATTTTTTCGGAAAATGCCAAAAATATGGCATATTTCTCTTTGATAATGCCAACATTTTTTCTTCCATCTTAAATCATTCTGAATTATGCCAAAAATATGGATTTCATAATAAATTTGGCATTTTTCCCCCAAATGACTAGAGATGGTGGTGCTGTGGCGGCAGAGGCGGCGGTGACAAAAAAAATTGATTTTTTTTTATTTTTGTTTAATTTTTTTTAATTTTTTTTAAAATTTATTATTATTCAAAATATTTTTATTAATTTTTTGGTATATTTTACGAATTTTTATTATTTTTTATTATTTTATTATGAATTAAAACATTCCAATAGGTATAAGGGTATATTTGTCCAAGACACACATAATTAGTCCTATGGAAACATAATTTATTTTTTGGTCCTATTTGTGCAAAGTGAATGACTTTTAGTCCTATTTTGATAATTAACTCAGTAAAGTATTGTAGTGGGAAAGTTCTCAAAATGGGACTAAAAAAGTTTGAAAATTCCAAAATAGGACTGTCATGTTTTTATTCCCAAAATAGGACTAATTATTGCCAAATTTGGAAAATACTGCCATGTTGGAAGTCCGGTACTGCCAAAACATGACTGTAATTAGTCCTATTTTGGGAATAAAAACATGGAAGTCCTATTTTGGAATTTCCAAACTTTTTTAGTCTCATTTTGGGTAATATCTCTTGTAGTATTGTAGAATTGAGGGTTATACAAAATAGTACGAGTAAAATTATTACTCCTTTTTGGCGCATTAAAATTGTCTTAATTTTGTGTGATTTTAAATCATTCTTATATATCAATTCAATATATCATACAAATTCATTTTTCTTGATAATCACATCATCTACTCACGTTCGAAATCGAATGTTAATGTGACGGAGGTAGTACATGCAAATCACAAATTACTCCCTCCGTTCCAAAAAAATACCTTTGATTTGGCACGGTTATTAAGAAAATGAGAATAAATTGAACATAGTTGTGATTGAATATGAAAAAAGTAAATAAATATTAACCACGCAAAAATTTTCAAAATAGTAAGTGGAATGAATTTTATGGGAGAGAAGGAGTAGTGAATTAAAATTCAACAAAGAGGATATTTAAAACAAAGAAAGAGGAAGAAGTGTGGATATCAAAATGGGTTATTTGGAAGATATATTTTGTTTTTAAGTTTGTGACACTTTCCATTTCATATACTTCGTGCAAGTTTTGTTATTTTCAAAAAAATTACTATCGTATAATGCTTTGCTGATTTTGGTGGGTCTATTCGACCTGTTCCAAGACCCGTTGAGTTTGGGTCCGGGTCCAAACTTTGACCCTCCGAGTGAACGTTACATTCCGCCCCCATTGATAGGCCTAACACGATGCACTTAAGATCCTAACAAAAAAATTGTTGCCCACCGTAGTTATGCACTTGTGGTATGCAAGTTTTTTTTTTTACTTTTAGATATTCAGAACCAAATTTAAATTTGAAAAACTAAGGCCATAATTGAATTGGCTGTTGTAGGCTGATTTTGAAGATGCACTTTCACCAACCTGGGAGAATTTGATAAGAGGGCAAGTTAATTTGAGGGACGCCATTAATGGAACCATAACTTTCCATGACCAAGCCAGAAACAGGGTGTACAAGCTGAATGATGAGATTGCAAAGCTCTTTGTCCGCCCGAGGGGATGGCACTTACTGGAATCGCACATCATCATCGACGGCGAGCCAGCTATCGGCTGCCTCGTGGATTTTGGCCTCTATTTCTTCCACAACTTCTCCAACTTCCGCAACAACCATGGCCAGGGTTATGGCCCTTTCTTCTACCTCCCCAAGATGGAGCACTCTAGGTATTTAAAGTTTCCAAATTGGTTCAAATTTTCAATAATTTACAACCTCTATCCAAGAAGAAGTTCTCGCTTTTTTTTATAGATATTTCAAAAATAAGTTTTCATTTCTATAAAAAGAAAGTACTTTTATTTAATCATAAAGTCAAGACTTCAAAACAAGGGTATATTTGAAATGTCAAAACAAAACTTTATATTACATAAATATGTGTGTAGATCAAATCGAGAACTTCATTTCAAGATGGGGAAATAAGATTTGAAGAAATAAAAACACACAAGTATCAAAATCAGACTACAAGTGACGTGTCACAAGATACTACGTATTAAATTTTACATGAATAGATCTTTATAGAAAAGCATGTGAATATGTGATGTTGGTTAAAACAATTACAGATTTGATGAAGTATATAATGCGATTTATGATAAATTAACAAAGTAAATTAAATCATTGGCAGGGAGGCAAGAATATGGAACAATGTGTTTGAGAGGGCAGAGAAATGGAGTGGGGTGGAGAAAGGAAGCATCAGGGCCACTGTCCTCATCGAAACCCTTCCGGCGGCGTTTCAGATGGATGAGATATTGTACGAGCTGAGAGATCACTCCCTCGGCCTCAATTGCGGAAGATGGGATTACATTTTCAGCTATGTCAAGACCTTCCAGGCTCACCCGGACCGCCTTCTCCCCGACCGGGTTCAAGTCGGCATGACCCAACACTTCATGACCAGCTACTCCCACTTGCTCATCCACACTTGCCATAGGCGCGGGGTCCATGCTATGGGAGGCATGGTAAGTATCATCTACTCCCTCCATCCCTGAATGTTGTTCTAATTGCGGATTACGAAGGTTGACCGACGATAAAGTTAAATGATCCCTGTGAAAACTCGGATTATTTTTAGTAAATAAAATTTACATATTCAGTAACTACATTAAACCCGCTACAAAGCCTGCAAAAAAAAATCAATTTTCATAAAGTTTTGATACAAAAAGTAAGAGTTTAAGAGTGATTTAAGTTGACTCTCGAAAAGCGAAATGGAAGTAAATTTAGGGACAGAGGGAGTATCTTTTTTTACCTAGGGTCGGGGGAAGAGGTTGGGAGAGTTTGGGGTAAACAGGGTCAAAACCGGTGGAGTTTCAAACTCGAGACCTCTCACAAGACAGAGTGAGTCGACAATTAGCTGAGCTAGACTGCTTCCTCAAGTATCATTCATTTCTATTCATTGAAAAATGAAAAATAAGTTCAAATTGGAATTGATTAAATCGGGTAAATCTGCTAAATTCGATAAATTTCTGGTTAAGTTTGAAGTGCTGAATAGAATTTGGGTATTCTACTATTTTGGGAAGAAAAAATATCACAGTTCTATTTGAAATTCAAGAACGTTTGTATTTCTTTTTGACATTTTAACTACGAAATTGCACTAAATAGGAGTGTGCATATTTAATCAACATTATTGTCCAAAGTTTATTGACCTGAAAAGTTAGAGTTTTAAGGAGAGATGGAAGGTAGTGTAATGATTTTGCATTACTTTGAATTGTTCTATAACAGGCCGCTCAAATCCCTATCCGGGATGATCCCGTAGCAAATGAGGCAGCTTTAGAGCTGGTAAAGAAGGATAAACAGAGGGAGGTGAAAGCCGGGCACGACGGAACATGGGCAGCGCATCCAGGGCTTATCCCGGCCTGCATGCAAGTCTTCACCGATCACATGGGAAGCAACGCGCCGAACCAAATCGACACAGCCAAGCGCGAAGACGCCGCCTCCATCACGGAGGAGGACCTCCTGCAGATTCCACGCGGCGTCCGGACCATGGAGGGCCTAAGGTTGAACACAAGAGTGGGGATTCAGTACCTAGCGGCGTGGCTGGCCGGGACGGGATCGGTCCCGCTTTACAACCTGATGGAGGATGCCGCCACGGCGGAGATCAGCCGCGTCCAGAACTGGCAGTGGTTGAGATACGCGGCGGAGCTTAACGGAGACGGGGTCGGGGTGAAGGTGACCAAGGAAGTGTTTGGGAGAGTGGTGGAGGAGGAGATGGGGAGGATTGAGAGGGAAGTTGGAAAGGAGAAGTTTAGTAAAGGAAAGTACAAGGAAGCAAGCAAGATGTTCACCAAGCAATGCACAGCTTCCACTTTGGATGATTTTCTAACTTTGGATGCTTACAATCATATTGTTATCCATCATCCCAGCACTAAAGGACCTTCCAAGCTTTGAGTGGTCACCTTGTCCATGAGAATAAGGAACTACTCCATATAACTTACTCATGTTGTTAATTTATATATATATCCTTCCATTGGATCACAAAAATAAAGATAATATTATTATACGGAGCATATGATTTTGCATTATCTTACAAACAGAGAGGCATTTAGTTCACTTGCATATATAGTTAATTTGAATGTCACCAGTAAGCCAAATTAAAATGCCACCAACATTGTAATTAAATGTCTGGATTTAGGGGAGGAAAAATCTCAAAATAGCTTCTAAGTTGAGACAACTTATATATTGGGATGGGGCTATTGATGAGAAACCAAACCCGACTATGCTAGCTAGAGTATTGATTGAGGTGGGAATATCCAAGAATTCACCCTTGACAGTGAAGCCAAAACTTATACCCGAATATTGTTTCCTCATTTTGTGAAAAATGAGACATTTTCCAATAACTACTTCCACTATAGATAAGCAATTTGCCCATCAACTCGATATGTCGGAACTATTGATACCATAAAAGGGAATATTTACCACTTTTAGTCCTCCGACTATTATGTCATTGATACTTTTGGTATTCGACTTTGATTTTTTCCATTTTTAGTCCTTCCACTTAGGGGTGTTCGTCGGTTCGATTTGGTTGGTTTTCGGTTTGGTCGGTTCGATTTGGTTGGTTTCGGTTTCGGAAAAGGTGAAACCGTAAATCGAACCGCACTACTTGAGTCAGTTTCGGTTCGGTTTCGGTTTGGTTAATATCGATCGGTTTCGATCGGTTTTAGCATGTTTTGTCGGTTTTTGTCTGTCGATTTTGGTTCGGTCGGTTTTTTAACCCCAAAGGTGAAACCGTAAACCGAACCGCCAATGATTAATCGGTTTGAGTCGGTTTCGGTTTTAGTCGGTTCGGTTTCGGTCGGTTTGTCGGTCGGTTTTGGTTTTTCGATTTTTTTGTTCACCCCTACTTCCACTATTGTGTGAAAGACACTTATGGTACCCGTCTTTGAAAATGTTCATATTTAGTCCTTCGACTTTCATAAAAGTGACACTTTTAGTCCTTCAAATACTATAATAGTGACATTTTTAGTTTTCCTCTCATTGTGTCAAAATCATTGTGGAAGGACTAAAAATGTCAATTAAATAATACTCAGAGGACTAGATGTGGGAAACTTTGACGTCGAGGACTAAAAGTGACTCTCGCGCAATAGTCGAGGACTAAATATGAAAAAATTGAAAGTCGAGTATCAAAAGTGTCAGTGACACAATAATTGCAAGATCGAAAGTGGCAAAAATTCTCATAAAAGGAATGGATAAAGAAGTAAATCAGGAGCATCAAATAGAAAAAGAGAACAATAAGTAGAGAACAATGGGGAAATAGAGCTTATTTTGTTGAACATAATGGGTCTCAATGGAGACTCTAGGAAGTAGGAATGATATAAAGAGGTATGATATTCCCATTTGGTGCCTGCCGAGTGCTGATACGGATTTTAGTGATGATGATAAAACTAAATGGAATCTTACTATATACAAAAGCCCGTGGAAAAGCTGCTCATTTTCCCGCCCAAAATATGGGTCAGACAATGTGGGTCGGATCTGAAGGCGTTGAATTCTGGAATGGTTGATCATTTGCTGGGGTGTGAAGGCGTTGAAGATGTTTCTGTTTCCCTTGAGGCCTTGACTGAGCCTTAGACAATGCTAATGCATTAGAGACACATTTATAGTCCGTACGAATATATAATTCATTGCGATAAAGGTTGACTCTGATAATTGATAAGTACTTATTATTTCTTTTTTCGTCTCTGTAGTAGATAAATTACGTAAACTAAGTTTGACAGAATATGAAAATGAGATGTAATCAGAGTTACAGATTTTCTTTAAATATAATTACAAGTAAGAAAATCATTCTTTGTTGAGTAAGTTCTCGATACAATCGTGTATTTGTTTACAAACAATCTAAAAAATATCATATGTTTGAATGTGAAAAAGCTATTCACAATTTCTACTTCACTTATAGTATGTTAAGGATGATCCTGATTTAAGCTCTATGTTAATGAAAATATGAAATGCAAAGAGCCTATGATGAAAGGGAGAAAAGAAAATGTAATCCGAGCTATGGTGTGGGGGCTATGTTTGGTTATTTACTTCTCATTGTTTTGCCAAGTACTGCGTATATGACTAGCTAAGTGTATTCTACTGCAGATGACGTAACAGCATTCAAAAATATTGCTAAATCATTAAAACAAAAGGACATAGACTTCAGTGGTCTTATCTATACATAATTGCTTATTTTGGTTGATTAGATCTAAGTAAAAGGAAATGGAATAGAAAAATTAGCAATTGTGGTTACTATTTGAAAATTTTCAAAATAAATTTGTTAAAAAAGGAAATTGTGATGATATTTAGGGATTAAAAACATAAGGTATACTTTCGAATTGCATTATGATATTTAGCTTATTCAAATGAATTTACAATTGCATTATTTTGCGAGTCCTTCCTTGGATTTGTAAATACGAAGTAACTAACTTATTTAGAAACTTTTATCCCAATAATACTTCATATGGATTTTTTACTATGGGGATTGGGGGACCAGTGGTAACTAAAGGAGGGCTAAAACTACTTTCTTGGAGTTTTGAACTCACCTTCCATATAACCATATGGGAAAGTGAGTCGACGATCAATTTGACAACTTCCTCATAATACTTCATAAATATTTATTCGTCTTTCAAAATAAAATCCCCACATCTAACATTATTCCAGAGTCTCACCCGCTATCTGCCAATTTGTGATTAAAATTCAATTTACATTTTCTCAGTTAACCGTTCGACCGGTGTTGGAAGGTCCTCAGGCGATGTATCATCTTTTTTTCTTTAACAAACATTGTCCGCGCCAGCTTGCACTCGACTATTCGTTCTTATATAATTTTTTATTTTTATTACATATCACATTTATTATTCTATAATACATTTACACATTCTATTTATACAAACAATTCTTTCACTAATAATTTTAGCAAATAATAAAATATTATTGATGCTCAATTTTGATCCGTGCATCGCACGGGTGACAATCTAGTTGTTTGTCAATAAAAAGCTGATGGGTTGGAATTGCAGTAGTAATTTTCTATTGCGTATAAGATTCTTTGTGGGCAGAATTAGTTTGATGTGCTTTGAAATCTATCTTTAGATCACTGATTTCGAACAATTTTCTAGCTAATTAATTGTCTACGTCTTTTGCGTTATCGAGTCATACGTGACGACTAATACGATTGTTTGATGTAAAATGATTGTTTTTGTTTTTAACACATTTGTCACGTATTTTTTTTTTTTCACACGCATATCTTAACAATACGATTACACTAGATAAAGATCAATGTGATTCACTTTAAAGATGCCTTGATGGTGAAATGATAGACACCGCAGACTCAAAATCTCATGCTAAAGGGTGTGGAGGTTTGAGTCCTCTAAATGAGTATATAAAACCCATATATACTTGTTAAACGTTCCCAATATTCATAAAAATGATGGGAGATAGATGAATCAAACTTATTGCTAATATCGCGAACCAAGTCATTACATCTATTAAAGTTATTCTGCTTTCTTTTGTATTCTAATTTGAAATTTGAGATTTGAAATGATTTGAGTTACATATTCATAGACTAGAATTAACACTACACTTCTGCCTAAAAATATCCGAAAGCTTTAGCTTACTTCATACGTAGTACTACGTATTATTCAATGTTGTGATTGTAAGTTAGACATACTACTATACTAGTATGTGATTCCAAATAGTAATGGGGAATAAATTTTCACCAAACCTAATAGAACTTTGTTTACACAGCCTTTAAGGCACTTTTGGACCCTCAAGAAGCCTCACCTCACCTTGGTCGGCTTACATTTCTTGGACCCAGGCTTGGTCCTCCTATTTGAGAAGCTCTACACTTAAGACTTCTCCAGTGTTATCTAGCTGTTGAACAAAAGGATTGACCTACAAGTACGGACTACGGAGTTCATATGTAGTTTGAAAGCTCAAAAAATGGCACCACAAATTTGTATAGAAATTATGTCAATATGTAAATTTTACACACGTTCATGCTAAACTATGTAAATATAATTTCAATATACGAATATAAACAAATACAAGACGTTTATACTGAAATCTAAGAAAGTTATGCCACAAATAGTATACGAAACAAGGGAGATTTGCAATTTAAGTCATGTAAATTTCCGTGGTTATCATTATTGTTCATGTAACTTTAATCACTTGCAAATTTGGTGTTGTAATTAATAAATCTTTGCAATTTAAGGACTCTTCTACCGAAAAGTACACTTTCCGACATAAAATACCGACGCCGGTGGCATCTTTTAAGGTATACTATCGCCGGCATGTGTACTTTTGAGGGTGGGGGAGCCTTATGTTGCAAAGATTTATTAATTACAGCACTAAATTTGCAAGTGATTAAAGTTATAGGACTAATAATGAAAATGAATGAAAGTTACTAGAGCAAATTTGCGTGAATACAATATGTGTTTTCCGATCAACTCATCAACTTACTAACGATTTCACCTCCAGACCTTGGATTTTGGAAATGGTTGTATTTGTTGCTTCCTTGTCAGCGTATCTCCTATCCTTATTTGCATATCATCGAGCTAGAAACAAATACTCCTTTCAATGATCCTATATTTAATTGAAGATGTGATGAGTGATGACATCTAAATGGAATCACAAAATAAAATATTACACTTATTGGTCTACTAGGACATTGGCTCTTCTAGTACGATTGTTAAACCCTCGATTTGTATTGTAATTTTACTTTTTCACTATATGGAATGTAGTAAGAGGTTGTTTGGCACCAATTTTTCGGATTATCAGGCTTATCAGTCAACTTTTTCACCAAACACGTAACTTTTGCTTTTGAGCGCTGAATTGTGTAATAAGCAGAAAAAGTAAGGTTGGATTTACTTTTCTGACTGTATTGGCTGAAGTTACTGTAGATGACCATTTTAGCTATTTTACATATAATTTTTTCTTTATTATATTAATAAAATACATTTTAAAAATAATTTTTTCTTATATCAGCAGAATCAGCCAATACAGCCACTTAAGCCAGAATTTCATAAATTACAGCAGAATCAGCCAAATCAGCCGATTTTCATGCTACCAAACGGGCTCTAAAACGCTTTATGGAATGTATCAAAAAACTTTTTCGCTTTTT